GTTTAAATTACAACTAGGAAAATATGGTTTGTGGTTAGAATCATTTGGATTACTACTTAATCACAAAAGACAAAGATCTTAATCTATATACCTGATATGTAACAACATGAGAACAGATTAAATTTTAGGTTTTCTGGCTGGATGCCATTTGTAAATATTATCAACTAGAAAATTTTCTCCTAAGCATACTTAATGGGGATCTGTGTGTCTGAATTTCCAAATTTTATACCCACTAGCAATCATTTAATCACCATGTAACTTATACATTGAATAACCAAGAATCCTCTGGAAACAAAATTACTCTGGATTCTCATTGGTGCAAATGTGTAGAATTTGCACATTTTGGTGTAGTAAGGATATTATCCGTTTTTCTGTGAGTGATTGCTGATATCCATTCCACAGTAGTTGTAAGCACACACAACATGTGCCAGTGCTGAAAGTGTTTTCCTCAGCACTACACCTATGGGAGTTGCTCTGGTGACCCCTGAAGGGGTGCCCACATGGCATGGTATAAAGGGCGCTGCACGCTCTCTCCGGTGATGGTGCAAAGGAGCTGCTGTGCTTTGGACAGTTTTTACTTTTTCTGTGAATAAACCTTTGCTTGGTGTATATATAGCTTATTCAATAGTTCCTGAGGAGAAGCCGTGTAATTCTATAATTTTAAGAATGAGTAGTCCTGTGGCACATTAGAAACTTACCCACGAAAGCTCATAAATGTATATATTTTTGTAAAACCCACTTCATCAGATGAATTGGAGTGGAAATAATAAAAAAACAAAATATATGTATAACAGCGGAGCTACCTGTCCAATGTAGGACCTGTGTTAATGAGGCTGAGTGGACTAGATGTGTCCCATTCGTAGCTTTTGATGTGAAAATGCACGTTAGAGGCAGGAGAAATTGGCTTTCTAATGCGTCAACCAGTTAATGTCTTTATTCAAGCTGAGGATAACAGTGTCAAATTTGTAAATTAATTACTGTTTAGCAGTGTCTCTGTAATTGGGTAGTGAAATTCCTTTGTAGAAGGATGACTACTTTTAAATCCATGATTGAGTGTCCATGTATGTTAAAATGTTGCCCAGCTCTGCTCTAGGCGAATATACAGGCTGGGGACTGGATCCAGCCTGCCCAATACTTTGATTGGGCCCATGGATTGCCTCTGGTTACTTTCTATTTGTATCCTGCTGCCCATGCCACTGAATTTCCAGGTGGTGGTTCGGGCATCAGGATACTATTTAAAGGGCTCTTGGTAGGGAACCCTACACAGACAGAAGGGCATACAGGACTGCTGGGGATCATCACATACTTGGATTCAGAACTAGTGGAGAAGGCAGATTGGGGCATAGGATCAGGAGCTAATAGCATGACAGCACCCAATCAGGGGCTGACTGAGAAGGGGGATGCAAGGCCACATGGGGATGGGAGCAGATGTGCCTGACTAAGTAAAAAAGAGAGTAGGGGGTCAGTCAGGCTCTGCATAGGGGAAACTCCCCAACTCGCTAACAATCCTCTCCTCCCCAAAAAACTGTTCTATATTTCTCCCATCCACAGTCACGACCCTCCAGGTTCACTCCCAGCTTTCTTCTTTCTCCCTCAGTTCCTTTGTTATCTCTAACTTTTCCAAGCATCTGCACTGCTTCTGAAGGGTGCGGGCAATATGTTTTTGTATTTTAAATTAATTACTCAGTTCTGTATGTATTTGCCTAGTAAGGAATCTGTCAAAAAAAAAAAAAACCCAAATCTTTTTTGCCTGTATTATTACAAACATACTTGCTAACAACGAATAGTCCTGGGGCACCTTAGACACTGACACACCCACTCAACATCATGAGCTTTCGTGGGAAAAACCCACTTTGTCAGATGAGATGAGCTTAAGACATCTCATCTAACAAAGTGGGTTTTGCCCACGAAAGCTTATAATAAAATAAAATAAAATAAAATAAAATAGTTACTCTACTTGTTTTTAAAGTTACAGACTAACACGGCTACCCCTCTGATACTTGCTAATAGGTATTTTGAAATTAATTACCAAAATAATGGAAGCTGTCATGGTCATATTGTGTTGTTGTGACAAAATATGCAGAATTTTGCAGAGTGGTGGGTTTTTTGTTTTTGTTTTTTTGATTTTTTTTGATTTTTTTTTTTGGTACAGAATTCCCATCAGTAAAATGTATATATCTTTTGATGCATAAGTACAAAGAAAGCAGGGTTAAATTTGAAGTGTCAGTATTCAATCTTCATTTTCTAATTTAAGTTCATTAATTCTCTACCATAACACTTCATAAAGGCTGTATTTTTGTATGAAATATGTCATCTAAAATGTGATGCAATTTTAAGTTTTTACATTTACGTTTACAACACACTCAAAATTTCTTCTAAGCATTCATGTCGTGCCATTTTCTTCTAAGCATTCATGAAAGTCTTCAGAATATCTTCTAGCAAACTGTGGGAATCAGTACTTTTAAAGTTTCATCTGCAAGTTTAGTTTTAGATGAGAAATTAATATTGACAGTGTTACGCCACTCTGAATGTGTACCATTCTTAACACATACTTTTTATCCTTTGTGTAGGTGTTTATTGGATTTGTGCTAAAGCAGTTTGAATACATTGAAGTGGGACAGTTCAGGTATAATCAGACATACAAAAATCTCCTTTCCTTCTGTAGTAGGATTATGGAAAATAATCACACAGGCCAGTTGAAGAATTTACATTAATATCTTTTTTGAATTGTACTATTTATTGTTTCATGAAAAATATGTTCGTGAATTTTTCATAAAGCATAGGCTGATTATTTTTTACTGAATAGATCGGACCTGTATATGTTTAATAAATGTAAGTTAGTGTGTATTGACATTTTTGTTTTGTTCCAGGGAATCCGAGGCAATTATCCCCAATATTTTTTTCTTCCTGGTATTATTGTCTTATGAACGATATCACTCCAAACAGATCATTGGAATTCCTAAGATTATTCAGCTGTGTGATGGCATCATGGCCAGTGGAAGGAAAGCTGTTACACATGGTAACTTGAAAACCAAAACAGTAAAAGTACTAACTATTTGCAATATACTAAAAAAGAATATAAAGTATCATGCTAGGGAATGCTGGGCTCATGCTGGTCAGCCCGGAAAACCTTTATATGGTTTTCTTGTGGCATTCTTTAAAATTACATTTTGTTTACATATTAAACCTTATTCAAAGGTATGAACTTACTCCTTCTGGCAGAAAATATTGTTTATCCCATTTATACTCCTTTTGCAATTATGCATATTTGGCTATTTTTGTTCAGAGTAATTAGGAAATTTGAGTAGAAGACAAGCTCTAAAGTATTGTCTGAGCTGTTTAGGTAAGGTCGTGTAGTCGGCAAGAATAAGTCTCAAGTCCGACACTGGGTTCTCAAAGTACAAAACATGCCACACAGGTATGTCATACACAAGTAGTTTATTTCCTGACAGCTAAGAGCTGTGCCCCATAAATGGAAGAACTGTATAACAGAAGCGGCATAATCTTACATCACTTCCTGCAAGCCTGGGACTCCGGGTAGGCTGCAGACGAAGTGGGAGGTTGTCTCAGCTTCTGAGGCGACGGTACCCAAAGCCCATCGGTGAAGTCCGATTTGCTAGGCTCTCAGGCAGCCTTAAATACACTTTTCCTGCCTTGTTTGGCAGTTTGGACATTTCCAGGGCTTACTCATTACATGCTGATGTAGGGCTTAGCTGTTAGTTATCAATCTGGTTCTGATCTGGATCTTCTTGTCCTTTGGCCCTGTTTACATGATCAGTGCGTTAGGGTAAACAGAATTGTTTGTGTTCTTGCCCTTTGCCTTTATCTCATTCTTGTTCTTGCTATATTGGCGACAATGCTTATCTTAAGTGGTGTATGTTCCAAGGACTTGCTTCTGGCTCATCAGATATAGGGAAAAGGGAAAGGGGATAAAGAATGCAGGCCTCAACTCCCCTAAACTATCACGTACAAAGTTCTTCTGCATTTAACCACTACAGTTTGTTTATAGTCTTTCCGGTTCTCCTTAAAGATTTCTGTCCCTTGCTTTCTCATAAAATATTCTAGTTAAAAATGAGTGTGATAAATTGATTGTCATTTTATAGTTGTAATTGCTAGTTTGTTACAAGAATATTGCCTGATAGACTCTTGACAAGGCAATATAATCCTTTTCTGTATGCACATGCGCAAAACCATACTCAGATTTTGCTTTAAATGTCTGATTTTTAATTTGGAAATCTTCCAAAATGTTGTGTTTTTGAAAAATCAGAAAAAAATTCTTGTAAGTTATATTTGTGAAAAAATATCTGCTTGTAGTGAGGGTCTTCTATTTTTAAAAATAAAATAAAATAATGGAAATGGTGGCCAAACAATATTTAATAGCAACAAAATTATATTATGGAGGGCTTGTTACTTATTTGTATCATAGGTGAACACAGCTGTCTCTTTTGTTTAGCTTCCTTTTGGAAAAAGAATATTGAAAGCCTTTTCTTATTCCAGAGCTGTTGATGCAAGAGATGTATCTGTCAATTACTGTGACTTATACTTAGCTTTAATAAGGATGAAAGAACAAGAGAGATGTGGGAATGACTTAAGTTTTCTACAAGTATTCATAGAAACATTACAATTTAAGTGCTAATTTTAAGTAGTAAAACAGCTGGGAGTTGGAACCTTTCTGTACTATTCAAAAATAACTTGCATTTAATATTGAAATATGAAATATCTTGATTTTTAGCTATACCAGCTCTGCAGCCCATTGTCCATGATCTCTTTGTATTACGAGGAACGAATAAAGCTGATGCTGGAAAAGAACTGGAAACACAAAAAGAAGTGGTGGTATCAATGCTATTAAGACTTATCCAGTATCACCAGGTAAGATAAGTGGACCAATTAGTAATTCTTTATATGTTCTATTGTGAATTATTGATTAGACTGGCCACACTTAAAGCATTTCAGATGACATTCATCCTAATTAGTTAGACAAATCCTGATTAATCAGACTTTGTTCTGAGCATTTTCTGGATATGCAGGATAAAAATTTGTTGCTTTCTGGCCCTTCCCAAATTGGTAGTGTAAGAGTACAAATTCAAGTGTCCCAAAGCAAACAATAAAAGCATTCATCGTTAAATATATTTTTTATCATAGAGTAGAAAGATAGATTTCATATATAGTGGTAAGTATTGACCTTGGAGTAGCAGTGAAGGGCTCCAGTCAGATTCTTGAAGACCTGCAGTGTATTGGGGGCTGTATGAACATGTAATGAGACAGTAGTGTCCTTGAGTGATGATCTAATTTAAGACAAGCTACAATAAGTGTGTGTAGCTATCATTAGGAGAAAATGGGGGAGTGAGTAATAATTAAGCCTAAGATTTGTATCACTTATTTGTAATAAGTCATAGGTTGTGGGCAATAAAAAAGCATGGGAGTCCTAGAATCATGGAGCTGGAAGAAACCTCAGGAGGTCATAAAGTCCAGCCCCCTGCCCAAGGCAGGACCAACCCCAACTAAATCAACCCAGCCAGGGCTCTGTCAAGCCGAAACCATGACCTGTCTGATTTTTATTAAAACTATTGGGGGGAAGGAATGACTGAAGCCCAAGAGAAGAATAGAGCCTGAGCTGAAAGAGTAGGGGAGCAGGATATCCAGCACCTGCTGTTTCAGCAGCTGACAGCTCTGGGGCTCCAGGGGCTCAACAGTGCCTTGGAGTGCTAAGTTGCCCTCAGTAACTGATGTCTTTGGCTCTGCCACCACAAGGTTGAAGTAAAAAATGTCATGGCAGTCTCTGAAAGTCATGGACTCCATTGCCTCCATAACATAATCTTACCTTTTATAATGATCATAGTTACATAGCCTTTTATGGATACAACTAGATTGGTAGTCATTTCATTTTTATAAAATACTACAGAAAAGTAAAAAAAATCTGGAAAATAACATTTTTTGGGTCATAATAGAGAGAGAGAAATTTGTTTTTTTTTATAAATTCTGGCCAGAGCTGATTTTTTTAAGTTATTGTCATAGATCTACATTTTCATTTCTTCTCCTGGATTTACTTAGTTAATATTTTTACACATACATGCATACAAGAAATAAAACTAAGTGGAGCAGAATAGGAATGCTATTTAATAGTAATAGTGTTCGGGGAGTGGGGACAGGAATGGAGACAGAGTTCTGTGGCTGGGGACAAGGGAGTGGGGACAACGTTCAGGGAGTGGGGACAGTATTCTGTGGCTGGGGAGCGGGGAGTGGGGGCTGGGGAGTGGGGTGCCAGTGGAGGCAGAGAGTCCCCTGCATCTGCCTCCTCCCAGGATTTCCCCCCTCCTCCCCGAGGGAAGCCAGTGCGTGCGTCGCACCCCCCCCCCCCCGGCGCAGGGAAGCTACGCTCACGCTTGCCCCAGCGTCAACCCCCCAGGCACCGGGAAGCCCTGTGCGCGCCTCCCCCGGGGCTGACTCACCCCTGCTGTGCGGTGGGAGGGAGCATCGACTCCCTACACAATACACCTGGCAGAGCAGCTAGCACATTTCCGGAATCTCCGGAAGTGGCGCTAAGCTGCGGGACTTTTGTCTGTCCCAGGGAAGCCGACACTACCTCTAGTTTCACTTGAGATAGGTAGTGGGGCTTCTTCGGAGTGGGAGGGAAGGAAATGGGGGTGGGGCGGACAGGACACCTCGCGATCGACTGGTCAAGGCCTCGCGATCGACCTGTTGGTGACCACAGTTCCAGATCAAGGGTGGGCAATAACTTATGGATGGGAGGGGCACTCGAAGATTTTGGAAGGTGTTCAAGGGCTGTTTTTCTATGGAGGAGCTGTGGGGTGTGGAACAAAGGTTGGGTGCAAAAGGGAGCTTGTGGTAGGAGACTGGGGTGTAGGAGAAGGCGTGAGGTCTGAGAGGGAATTTGGGTGAAGGAAGGGATTGTGACCTGGGGCAGGGGGATTGGGGTGCAGGGTCCAGGAGGCGGTCTGGATGCAAGAGAGGATTCTGGCACGGGGAAGGATTTAGGAGGGAGTACAAGGGCTGCGGAGGAAGGGGATGGGGTGTCAGAGGTAGTCTGACCAAGAAGCTTTTACCTAAGCAGTTCCCTTCCAGCAGCACTCTCAGGCAGGCTTCCCTGACAGCAACCCCAGATTGCTGGCTTTCTCTGTGTGGGATGGGAGGGAGAGGCTTCTCACACTGCATCCACCCCTAGCTAAATCTCTCAGCTCTCATGGCCAGAAACTGGCTCATGGAAGCTAAGAGATTGTGCTGCACTGCCCCTATCCCCTGGCAAAATTTCTCAGCTCTCCTTGGCTAGTTTCCAGTTAGTAGGAATGGAGAGATTTTGCTGGGTGTTGGGGCAGTGTGCTGAAGCTCCTCCTTCCCTACCCTGTTCCCACAGTACAGAGAGCCATAGGGAACAGCTAGCTGATTTGATCAGCGCTGCTCCCGCTGCAGGGGTGAGAGCAGGCCAGATCAAAAGTCTTGGTGGGCCAGATGCAGCTTGTGGGGCCGTACCTTATCTATCCCTGTCCTAGATAATTTTTGAGAAGCAAGTTGCATAACTTTTTGGTTTTGAGGAAAACGATTAGTTTTAGTGGTGGTTCTTACCCTCAACTGTGCTATTTAAATATGCCATTTTCTAAAGTGCTGGTGTGTTTTTTCTTCAGGTGCTGGAGATGTTCATCCTAGTACTGCAACAGTGTCACAAAGAGAATGAAGACAAATGGAAAAGATTGTCCCGGCAGATTGCAGATGTAATTCTCCCAATGCTATCAAAACAACAGGTTAGTATCTAACTTTATTGATTTTTTTTTAATTCTTATGTATCAAGTAGCCCTGTGGTGCCTTGAAGACTAAAAAAGGATAGTCGTGTTGCACCTTAGAGAATAATTAATATATATTTTTATTAAAGTTACAGACTAACACAGCTACCCCTCTGGGACTATATTTATAAACAGTCTTTCATATATAAACCAATTTTAGAAGGATAGTTTCCAATATTTTCTATTTGTATTTCATATGTATTTGTAGATTAATGTAATTGTGGGTTTTTTTTAAAAACTAATTTTGTAAATAAAGCTTTTTGTACTGGCTGTCTTCTGATATAACACAGCTTAAACTTAAGTATATAACTGCCCAAAGAATCATGACTAATCCAGACCACCATGCTTACTATAGATAGAGTATCAAGCCTTCCTATCTCTAATAGGCAGATGTTCCACATTTAGTCATTCAGCAAGAGAGATTCATGAAAATTCGTCAGGATTTTTCCGCCATTGGTCAAACATACAATGGGACCTCAGTCTCAACCTGGCAGCACTCATCAGACTATTGGAACCTTTGGCACCTGAAGGGTGAGCAAAATGGTAGTGCTCATGGCAGACCTCCCATCCCCGTTTTTTCACAAGAAAAAGGTTTCTCTTCATCTCCATCCTAAATTCTTCCTGAAAGTTACTACTGAATTCCATGATGACTGAACACTTACGTGTTTTCCCCAAAATCACATGTCACTGTGAAGAGGTGATGTCATGCCTATGCTGCCGGATATGTCTGGGCATTCTAATGGCAAAAGACCAAATCTATTCACAAATTACTAAGGCAGTTTCTTTAAATTAATTTCTGGATGCATGTGCAACCAGTGAGCTCATATTCCTTCACCTGGCAGAGGCACACTCAACCACAACACAAGCTGCTTCTCCTAGATCCCTGCAGGAATCAGTGATAATGGACATATGGAGAGCAGCTACTTGGAGTTCCATTCACACATTCTCAAAATATACCCTAGTGCTATCTTTTGCTGTAGATGCAGTGGTTGGAACTGTAGTACTTCGGACATTTTTGCCCTCTGCATCATCACATCTCTCTCTAGTTTAAGTGCAGTTTATCAGGTGGAGCCAGCACTTGAAAAAGCTCCCTTATCTGGTACTGGAAGTACTTCTAAATGTGGGATCCCTACTTGTATTTTCCTACCCTCTTTCCATCCCTTCCTCTTCAAGCTCTATTTGTTGGCATCCTTTCATTTGCAAGAGACAGTGGGAATTGCAGCGTATGGTGTAGATCATTACTGGGCAAAATACAGCCTGCTGGTCAGATCTGGTCCGCCAAGCTGCTGGATCCAGTCCCCAGATTCCGTAGGGAGCTAGGGATGTAAGCGACTAATCGAGTAATTGACTGTCTGATAAGCAAAAGCTTATCGGACAGTTGACACATCACAAAGCCATTTCCCCTGCCTTTCACATTTGCATTTTCACATCTAAAGCTATGAATGGGGACATCCAGCCCTCTTAATTAGCTTCATTAACACATGTCCTACAATTGACAGCTTTGCTGTTCTATAGATCTTGGATTCTATTACTTCCATTCCAACTCATCTGATGCAGTGGGTTTTACCCATGAAAGCTCTGTAAGGTACCACAGGACTACTCATTTTTGATATCACTGTGTCAGAGTTAGTAGGAATAAACTGCCCCACCTCTATTTTTTCTAGTTAATTTACTTTGAACAAAGAGTTGTCTCATGCTTGTAATCCGTATCATTTCCCCCCCCCCCCCCTTTTTTTTTTATATAGGTGTTTCTCACGCTACATGGAAGAGGTGCTTTAACAAAAAATAAGAATTGTGGTAGTAAAACTACAAAATTAGTATTTGGGCGGGAGGAGGTAGCGTACTATCTGATATGATTGCTAACTTAAGTTTCAAGTTGATGTCCCTTTTAATTCATTGTCTCCCAGTACAATTGCTTTTAGATGGAACCAAAACCAAACCAATGCAATGGCTGCAACTGCTTTTAACACTGATCCCTTATGGGTTTTCTAATCTGTTGTGGTTTATCCAACTGAAGTGCAGCCTTATTGCATGGGAAATGCACAAGTATTGTACTAAAACATTCAAGACACAAAGGCGTTGTTATTTTTGGCAGCTGTGTTCAATGGAGAATAAAATTTGTTCCTTTCTTTTGAACAGATGCATATCGATTCCCACGAAGCTCTGGGAGTATTGAACACTTTATTTGAAATTTTAGCTCCTTCTTCACTCCGTCCTGTGGATATGCTTTTAAGGAGTATGTTTGTTATTCCCAGTACAATGGTAAGTGACCAGTGAAAGAAACTACATTATTCTGTTTGATAATAAAGCCTTTAATGCATTTGTGGCTGTTATACAAAATAGTAGTGAGTGTTCTCTTAATTCTCTGCAGTGTGTGTAATTCTGTTCCCAAATTCTGCTGAAATTACTGTTTGGTAATAAAGAAGAACTCAACAGGAGGACTAGTTTGCCTTTGTATTGGTCATTTTACTTGTAATTCAGTGGTGTAGAATAGTGGTCCCTAACGCGGTGCCAGGGGCATTTATGTGCGCCCGCCGGGGCATTTATGTGCGCCCGCCGGGGCATTTATGTGCGCCCGCCCCGGGTGCATGGTGCATGGGCGGCCTCTGCCCCGGGCGCGTGGTGCATGGGCGGCCCTGCGCCAGGCAGCCACGAAAGGTTGGGGACCACTGGTGTAGAATGAGGAGACTCCTGATGCAGGTTTACGAAAATCTGCTTGTTTCGTGCAGAATTGTAACCCCCTTTTTAATGTGTAACAAAACAAGATCCTCCTAGTATTTCATTTTTGAGAAGGCGTGGAGTTTTTTTGTGAGTACTTCATTCACAAAAAATGTTGTAGAAATACCCGTTCCCAATTGGATGCTCTCAAATCCAAAATGATTTCCAGAAGCCACCATCAACGTTTAGCTGTTGGGAGCCACAATAGTGGCAGAAGACAAGGTAGGAAAGTTTTTCACTTCTTTGACCATCTTTAAGAATGACCTTTTATCAGATATAATATGTTGTCAGTTCTCCATTATATTATTACAGTTGTCAATCTCTTAATCTGCTGTATTTTTCTCCTTTTTTGTTTTTGTAGGCATCAGTGAGCACTGTTCAGTTATGGATATCTGGGATCCTAGCTATCCTTAGAGTTCTGATTTCACAGTCAACAGAGGATATAGTTTTATCTCGTATTCAGGAGCTTTCTCTCTCCCCTTACTTAATGTCATGTCAAACAATTAACAGGCTAAGAGATGGAGAGAATAATGTACCTGTACCTGAAGAACAAATTGAGTTGAAACAAGCTAAATATCTGCCTGAAGAGACATTTTCTAGGTATGTTTTCTGAATCTATAGATATTTTGTAAAACTTGTGATTAAATATTAAGAGTGATCAGTGATATGGAAGCATAACTCTTATATTTATAAGGATGTTATCTGAAATGGTTGTGGGGGGGATTTAAGGTTGGATGCAAGATTGAGGTATAGAGTGGGCTAAGGTGTTGATGGATGTATTACATAGGATGAAGGTGTGTGTTTTTGTTTAACAGTTTTTGGCTGTTCTGGTTTCTTTTCCTATGCTGAGGTTAAAAGCAACATTGACTTGTATGGGACCAGGATTTCATCCGGGAAATTGACATGTCCTGCTTCCTTGCTTTAGCTCTTTTTTCCTCAGAGGCATATGTGTGGGATGTGTTGGGTGATTTTCCCTCCTGTTTATGTGAAAGGGTGAAGATCATGGAAGGGGAAGATCAGCTTTGTTTTTAAAAGGATAAATTGTAATCTAGAGCCTTCAGAGGAAGAGAGTAATACCAAGTAACTTGAGAAATTTTTGGGTGTGGTTGAATTAGAAATACTCGACTACTGTAGGGGGAAGGAATTGGGATGCTATTTTATCCCTCAAGGTGAGGATTGAGACCCTTATAAGATATTTTTATCTCCCAAATTCAGTTGTGGGGGGTTATGATTAGGCATAAATTTTTAACTATGAATCCTGATGATCTGAGACTTGCTAAGAGAAGGATTGGGGAATGGTTGTGGGATGGATTATTCATCTGAGTCAGATGGTTGGATGGGGTTTTTAACTTTCCTTGGTGGCCTTTATTTGGGTGAGTATATTCCTTTGGCCACCTTCAGGTAGCACACTCATGCCCTATGCTAGGAATATGTATAGCTGATGGAGAAAGGAGTTTTTGATTATGAAGGTCTATCATGTCTGTGGTAGTGATGGATGGTAAAGATTTTGTGTAAAGTAGAAACCTGTTGTGAACAGCTTAGTCTGGATGATTCCTCATTTTGTCTGTCTTTTAGGAAAATAGCATGTTGGGTAGGGTGCTAGATGTCTGATTCATGTTTATTGCAAGTATAGTGATTGATTGAACACTGACAATCTGTGATTTGATATCAGATGTGGTTTGGATAACTAACACTGTGGCTTCTAATCACACTGCAAATACTCAACCTTATACTAGAAAATAAGTCTGAGAGCTGGAGCTGAGTGGGTTTTTTGGTTGTTTTTTGTGTTTAGGGTTTTTTTGGGGTGGATGGAAGGGAAAAAGAGCTTTAAGAAGAAAATTTTAAAATGAGGTTCAGGTCAGCATGCTGAAATCTGTTAACTGATGTCTTTTTCTTCCTGACTCTGTAGTATAGTGTTTTTTTTATTTTGTTTATTTTTTAGGTTCTTATTGCAATTAGTGGGCATTCTACTAGAAGACATTACTACTAAACAGTTGAAAGTGGACATGAATGAACAGCAGCACACTTTCTATTGCCAAGAGTTGGGCACACTGCTTATGTGTTTAATACATATCTTCAAATCAGGTAATCCTCTCAAAATGAGTTGTTTTGTGCCATGATAATGACAAGTTCTTTTCAGTTCTGAATCAATTGCCCTTTCTTGGGCACTAGTCTTACAGAAGGCACTCCAGCTGGTGGCTCAGGCTATGTAGGGAAGATGCTAGATACCTATCAACACCTTTGGAGACCTCAGCTACTGAGTTCAGGGATGAACCTAAGGCAGAAGAGAACATTGCTGCCAACATCTCACAAATCAACAATAATTCATCCTTCTCACCAAACAAGATTTCTTAGATGTTGCTGAGACAACTGAGAGGTCCACCCCTACAGCTGTGGTCATACAATAGGCCTCACAGTTGAACTGCTCAGCATTCCCATGAGAAATACAAAATACAGCCAAAGACCTTCCTTTTGAAGGAGAGAAATTGTTTGCAGCCAAAATCAGCGAGGTACTGCATTCATATACTTGCTAGAAAAAGAAGACTACAGGCAGTCCCCGGGTTACATCAATCCAACTTACGTCGGATCCCTAGTTACAAACGGGGGGGGGGGGGGGGCGCGCACAGCTAGTGCAGGGCGCTTCCCCCCAGCAGACCAGGGAGACGCGGAGCGGCTTTTCTCGCCGTGGAGGATGCGGGGCTGCCGGGGGGAACAAGACACCAGCCAAAAGGGGGCACTCCAGAGTGGAAAAATTAATTTCCTAGGGAACAGCAGGAGCAGCAGGCAGTGAGACCCATTGTGTTACAGTCCCCACCTTGAGAGCAACAGCTCTGTCCCTCTTCAGCACTAGAGCTGCAAGTATCTTGTTAGCATCACGTGAAATTAACAAGTCCCTTCCAGCCTGGCAGAGGTGAAGCTGAAAAATTACCCAGTGGTGTGGGTGGGCAAGAATGGGGAGGAGCAGGACAGAAGGGAAGAGGGGATAAGTCCCAACCCCACACCCTGGCTGGAGCGGAGCAGGGTAAACCCCGAGGGGATAGGTCTCGTTGCAAAGTGGGTGAGGACAATGAGGACCCACCTGTGGCTAACCTCCTGTTCCCAACACAGAATTTTTCTTTAAAATTAATCCTGTGGATAAATTCACACACACTTCACAGGAAGGGATTTCCATTTTTTGCTCAGCAGAATACAACAGCTTTGATTGTATCAATATTTCACTGTGCTCTCCAATGACTATTGATTACACTTAATACCCATTTCACTGAACCATCTGTAGCAAATTCTATTTGGAACAGTAATATGCATTGAATAAACTTTTTTTAGTTATAAAAAACAAAGATTCTGACTATTAAATGAATAACTGGGATCTTTCAGGTACCCCAAAAGGAAGATTTGGATATAGCATGAAACACTGAAACTTATGATCAATTTTTAATTAAAATATCAACCAAAAAAAACCTTCATATCAAAACAGTATGTGTTTTTCTTAGAATAAGGAAGTTGTATGAGAATCAGGGTCTTCTCCATCTAACTCCAGCTCCCCGTCCCCCATCAAAATATGTACCAGTTCCGACTTACATACAAATTCAACTTAAGAACAAATCTACAGTCCCTATCTTGCATGTAACCCGGGGACTGCCTGTATATAGATATCAACCGTACCAGAGAAAGAAAGAAATATTCAAAATATACACAGTAAGGCCTTAAGAACAACAACAAACAAAGACTGAAACCAAAATGATGCTGACCTCCAGAAGCTGTGGTGTCCCAAGTTTTTTTTTCTCTGAATAACAAATTTGAAAGCCTGGGTGAGAGTCTGCAAGACCTTTCTCTCATTCCAGTGCTACTGTCATCCAACCATCAGTTTGGAGACCATTTGCTCCCATTCTATGTGAAATGAGCTGCCATTATCATGAACAAATAGGTCATAGAAGTCTTCCAAATGGGCTATACCATCCCATTTCTTTTTATACTCCCCATCCTTGCCACCTTTCCCTCTTCAGAGACCCCTCTCATGAACATCTGCTACAAGAGGTAGATTGTCTCCTCCAATGTGGAAACTGTTTGCATGCGACACAGAGAAGGATTTTTATTTCTGTTCTTTAACACAAAACCAAAATAGGGATTGTGATCTATTCTGGATCTCAGGTGACTGAGTAAACAACAATTCAAGATAGTCATATTAACAACAATACCACCATGAGACAAATGCAATATAATAAGTACACTCATATTCACAGCATGGAGCAGCCCACAGATTACAGCCCTACACATGTCTCTACTTTGAGCCCCATGGCTGTGGTCAAACACACACTCTGACAGCAGGCCCGCATGCAGGAATTTCTGGTGTGTGTGTGTGTGTGTGTGTGTGTGTGTGTGCTTTTTTTTTGTAAATGTGGACCGCAAGGGTGTGAATTCACCTCTCATGATCCTCCAAGCAAGCAGGGAAATCAGCCTCAGCCTTTCCCTGGCTGGTTAAACATGCGGTAGGGAGGCTTAGGCAGTGTGCTGCTCTTGCCTTCCACTGGCTGGCCAAAGCATGCTTACTTGGAGTGTATGGGGGGTGCTTTCACACCTTTCTCACACGCACACACATGCACCCTACATATGGGCTTGTATAGAATGTAAAACAGTCATACTGTATCAGACCAATGGTCCATCAGGCCCAGTATTCTGTCTTCTGACAATGACAAACACCAGGTGCCCCAGAAGGAATGAACAGAACAGGTAATCATCAAGTGATCCCTCTCCTGTCAGTCCCAGCTTCTGACATACAGAGGCTAGGGACACCATTCCTATCAGTCCTGGCTAAAAGACTTTGATGGGCCTATCTTCCATGAATTTACCTAGTTCTTTTTTGAACCCTGTTAAAGTCCAGCTTTTCATAACATCCTCTTGCAAACAGTTCCGCAGGTTGACTATGTGAAGGAATACTTCCGTTTGTTTTGTTTTTTAAACCTACCTATTAATTTCATTTGGTGACCCCCAAACTCTTGTGTTATGAGAATTTTCTCCACACCAGTTATGATTTTATAGAGCTCTGTCATATCTTCCTTTTAGTCTTCTCTTTTCTAATCCGAAAAGTCCAAATTTTAAAAATCTCTCAGCATATGGGAGCCCTTTTCTGAACTTTTTCCAATGCCAAAAAATCTTTTTTGAGATGAGTTGACCACATCTACATGCGGTATTAAATATGTGAGCATATCATGGATTTATATAGAGGCAATAAGATATTATCTGTCTTATTCTCTCTTTTTTAATTATAGCTAACGTTGTTAGCTTTTTTGACTGCTGTTGCACGTTGAGTGGATGTTTTCAGAGAAATATCCACGACGACTCCAAGATCTCTGCGTCGTAATAACTAATTTAGTCCCCATTGTTTTATACATATAGTTGGGATTATGCTTTCCAATATGCAGTATTGTATTTATCAGTATTAAAATTAATCTGCCATTTTGTTGCCTTATCACCTGTTTTTGTGAGATCCTTTCAAAGCTCTTCTCTGCTTTGGGCTTACCTAATGTTGGTATCATTTTGCCACTTCACTGTTTACCCCACTCTCCAGATCACTTGCTACTGATTTATAAGAGCCAGAACTCTGCCACATAGCAAAGATCTGGCCTTAATGCAGTACAATTTACTATGTATTAATTAGATTAGAGTTTTAGATATCTGCAAAACTTACCTTAAGCCATTAACACCAATGTAAACTTTGTTTAAAATGCAATAATGCAAATGTCCTGACATACTCTCCCTTCCCCTCTGCCCCCAAACACCCTGCTTTCCCCTCCTCCCTCAAACCGAGCAAGACAGAGAGGACTGCAGTCTATACTGCACAAGTTTGTTAGGGGGACACCCGAAACGAACTCCAGCACCCTCCAGCTCACTGCACAGATGCCAGCACCCACCTACACCTGTGCAATCTGCTCCCCGCACTCCCTAGCCCATCTGGGACTGGGATAGAATCCTGCTTCTCAGACTTGCAGGTACTTGCAGTCTAGCTTGGAGTTAGGACAAGACACACAACAACAAACTCTCCACCCTTCCCTCATCTCCCTCCTGGACACACAGCACAAACTCCCCCG